AAGCAATGGTTGTGGAAGGCCCTGACGGAGGCGGTGTAGCAGGGCCAGTGGGTGATGGTGTGGTTCCCGGTCGCCACGAGGAGCGAGGCCATCCTAGGGCTGCCGCCTGCCACGTGCCCGATGATGCGGGTCATGGCCACCTTGACGATCACGCGGTTCTGGGGAGAGAGGATGTCCCTGTTATATGGCCTCGCAAGGGACGGCTGAGGGCGTCTGACTACTGTGACTGAAGTTACATTTGGTAGTAATAGTAATGATCATGATCACGTTGATAATAATAATAATAACAACAACAAAGATATAATTATACTACTACAGATAATAATAACAACAATAACAATCAGCAATAAACCTGTTTTAGTCTGTAACTCCCCAGTTCAGAGATCAGGCGATGATCATTATAGAAAAAATGAAAATGTCAAAAGGTTAGTGACGCCGGACGTCCCGCTCACCATGCGCAGGTGCCGGAGCTCCTCCTTGAGGGCGTCCACCTCGGCGACCTCCTTGGCCCTCCGGATGCGGGACTTGAGGATCGCCACCGGGACGTCAGGGCTGGCCACGGCGCTCTCCTGCGGCAGAGGACGACTGTGAGGGAGGGACCAGTGTGCTTGGGAGAGTTTGATCGTGTTTCTGGGTGTGTGTGAGCGTGTGTATGTCTGTATGTGCGTATTTGTGCATGTGTTGACGTAATACAGCTACAGCAATCAGGGAGTATCAGATTCAGTCTAAGACCAGAATCATCCTACTTAGTTTTACTGGCTTGTGGGAAATATAGTCTGACTGGAAACGTTAGAGCTATATTTTAGTGTGTGTATATGTGCCTACACAAGCATTTCACTGCAAGAGAATTTCTTAGAACTTCTCGTGTGGTAAAACAGAAAGACAGACGATGATAGAATGAATAAAACACGAAATACAGAGAGACAGATAGATAAATTACCAAATAGATAGAGACAAAGTGAATCAAAACACGAAACAGAGAGAGCAACAGCTATCCGACTCCTGTTCACGAGCCTTCGAAGCCGGGAGGAGACTCACTAGGCAAGGGTCGTCCTCCCCGCGGATCGGAAGATACACATCCTGCTGACTGCGACTCGACTGCTTCCTCCCCATGAACTTAGACAAGTGCTGGCGGTCGAGGCGGATCTCCCCCCAGTGCATCACCGTGGACGTCGTCACTTCCTTCCTCACGAGCTTGAACTGCTTCTTCAACGTCTCGTGGTGAAGGTTCTCCTGTTGGGAAACGAGTTTACGAGTTTAAGTGATTTCTTTTCTTCTTGTTATAGAGTGACAGATGCCACACATGTAAACCCAGTGCCCACTACTTGATATTGTAGATATATATACTAGTTAAAAGACACGGCGAAGGAAAACCAGAATAAATAAAAAGGTTCAAGCCGTTTACCCTATCTGTGTCCTCCATCCACTTGACGCTGAATACGTCTCCCAGGTAAGTGTCTCTCTCTGTGTCCAGGTAGCAGGCGTACGAGTGCTGGTTGGGACTCGAGGCGCTCAGAGCATACACTGGGAGGACGGGAGAACGGGGGAGGGGGGGGTTAGCCTGCTTGCGTTACTGATATTCTTCATAATCCCTCAAATACTTATATCAAACATCAATTCCTATCTTGTAATGGACTTCGCTTTTCGGTTCGTTATAACTATTGCATCAAAAGAGCAAAAATCTAGTGCTTCTGGTATATTTGTTTGTTTCTTCATTACTCTTTTATCTATCCGCGAGATCTCACCCATAATATCTCTCGGAAGTAGGTTGTGGAAAAGCGATCCCGACTCGCACGACTCCACATACATCACCATCTGTCGGAAGGAGAGAGATTTTTTTTAGGATGTGTGAAGCACGAAATAACATAGCTATGTGTTTATAAAGATTAAGTGAAACGGAGCCATAAGGACGACAGCAAATCGTTCCTTTTCGAGGCAGACTGGGATTCCAGGCTAAATGATGAACCGAAAGGAATGATCATTTTTACCGTCTGATAAGGAGTCAAGTTTGATTCGAAATGTCAGGAGTTGATGTTTCTTTCTCACTGTGGCCGTGCTTCATTCCATGCAGATATGCACATGAGATAGGAAACGAGGGCGAGAGAGAGAGACAGACAGACAGATAGATATAGACACAGAGATAGAGACGGAGAGACATACAGACAGATAGAAAGAGAGGGGAAGGGACAGTGAAAGAGAGATATAGAGAAGAGACCAGAGCAGTGATCCTGATCAGACCCACCTCTCCGAACTTGCCGTCGCGATGCATGCCGAGGATGGTGTCAGTGAGGTTAGTGGCGTTGAGGTAGTCGTATGGGAAGGCGAAGATGCCGGGGGCGCCGTGGTCCACCATGTTGAGGAAGATGCGGTCGTTGGGGCCGCTTTGCACGACCTTCCCGGATCCGATGCCCTTCATTCCTTCGGCGTCACCGCTCAGCACCTTCAGGAAGTTCTCGGGAGTCACGTCGTCGCCTGTGTAGTCCTTCGGGACGCCCTCGTACACGTCAGGTCCTCCGGGTCGGTTGATGATCACGCCCGGCGTCGGGTTCCTGTGATATGGAGCCAAAGTTATTGCGTGTTTTGTATACTACGACTTGGGTTGTGACTGCATTGTGCATATGCTCTATGGATCTAGGGACGGACATACTGTGCATTCATCCTCCCTGTCCGTCTGGCTGTTAATCCCTGTCTATTATTTGTATTTACGTGTTAATATTCACCTACTTTGGTGTGGTTATTCCACCGTTTATAATAAACACATCCAATGCTTTTGCACCAGAGTAACCACGCCACTCACTCTTCGTTGTGTGCAATATCATCGACCATCATGACGATAATGTGGTCGTCGGGGACACCATGATCATGGAGGATCTGGTAGGCGTGACAGACGTCCGCCTGGAGAGGAAAGGAAACGCCGTCGAGTTGAGATCATTACTTTTTTTTTAAGCGTCTCATGTTACACAGAAAATATAGGAACATTTGCAAAGGATTATTTTTAGAAATCCCTACTTTAATAAGACAATATATGTAGATTTGCAAAGGATTATGTTTAGAAATCCCTACTTTAATTAGACTGCAAAATATATGTAGATTTGCAAAGGATTATGTTTAGAATCCCCTACTTTCATTCCACAGAAAATATATGTAGATTTGCAAAGGATTTATTTTAGAAATCCCTACTTTAATTACACTGCAAAATATATGTAGATTTGCAAAGAAATCCCTACTTTCATTACACCGAAAATATACGTAGATTTGCAAAGTTTTAATCTTAGAAATCCCTACTTTCATCATATAGGGTGGAAATTAGCCCCAAGGAACCAAGCATTTCACCGAAGTACCCCGTAAGCCTGAATCTCAAAGCCCTCCCACCCCCTTAGGACACTCACCTGATGGCGGTAGTTCATCCAGGAGGAGGAACCTGCCACAAGCACCGCCCACAACTCGCCCCTCTGATTCGCCTGAGAGGAAGACCCTCTCGCCAGCGCCACAGCCAGCAGGAGCAGCACGGGTCGCCACATCGTTCACGCCTTCGAGGAGCAAATGCATGAAGTTCAAAATTCTTGAGAGGAATAGGACACAGAAGAAACAGAGCAGATATGAACAGATATTTGTAGACACCAAGACCTTATTTACATAGGGCACGCACATACATACACACACACACACACACACGCACACACACTCACACACACACACACACACACACACACACACACACACACATACATATATGTATGTATGTATATATGTGTGTCTGTGTGATAATCATTATAATAGGACAGACAACAACTGATACAACAGAAATATTAATGGCAATAAAGAATACTTTACGATAATGAGAAAATCCCGGGTAATTTTAATTTAAAAAAACAACAATAATAGTTAACATGCACAGTATTCATAAAATTATATAAAAACAATGATCGTTTTTATTATGATGACGATGGTGATAAAGAGATAATAGTGATTAAGACGATAATAATTATTATTATTAACATCACCATTAGCATCATTGGTTTTATCATTATTATTATTACTATTATTATCATTACTACTGCTTACTACTATCATTATTACTACTATTATTGTTATTATCATTATCATTATTACTATTTTTAGTATTGTCATTACTATTATTATTATTATTATCATTATTATTGTTGTTTTGTCATTATTATAATTATAAATTAATATTATTATTATTGTCATTACTATGATTCCTATGATTTTCATCATCATTATTATTCGTAGTTGCAGTAGCACTATCATTACTAACATTTTTTTTATTCTTATTTTTAATCTTGATATTGCCATTATCATTATTATTACCATTATTATTATTATTATTATTACGTATATATATATATATATATATATATATATATATATATATATATATATATATATATATTCACTATATATACACATTTATACATCCGTGTGTGTATGCCTAAATATGTCTATATGTCAATATTTCTATATATCTATACATAGACATATATATACATATATGTATATTCATACATATACATATATATACATATGTAGACATATATATGTATGTGTGTGTGTGTGTGTATTTATTTATTCATTGAAGCAACAAGATAGTAGGAAAACTTTTTCTGTTTTTTTTATCATGATCATTTCCATTATTATCATTATTATTGTTGTTGTTGTCGTTATTATTGTTATCATTATCATTATTATCATTATCATTATCATCATTATCATTATCATTATTATCATTACTATTATCATCATTATTATTATTATCATTAATATCTTAATATCTCGCTATTATTATTATCAATATTAACTTTTATTATTATTATCATCATTATCATTATCATTATTATTATCTTCATTATTACTGATATCATTATTATTATTATCATCATTATTACTTATATCATTATTATTACTATTATCACTATCATAATTATTATTATCATTATCATTGTTATCATTATCACCATAACCCCTATGATTATCATCATCATTATCATTACTATCATCACTGTTGCCATAAGTATCATCACCGGATCTGCGTCATGCCGGCTTCAGCTCGACCAGGCAAAAGGGACGCCGACCGAGAGAATATTTAGGCTTATGAACAGTATTTAAAGGTAATAGGCAGGCAGATACGGGACTGGTGGGACCTTAGTAAGGCGTGTGTGTGGTGACAGTCATGAGGGCATAGTGTCCATTGAAAAAAAAATGGGCGTTTCCATAGGTTACGTTACGGTCCTTGCTCTGTCAGTAAGGTTGTTATTGTTTTGCGGAAATGACATGTTTGTTCACACAGGCGTTGCCACTCTTGTTAAAGATGGCTGACGTAAGTATGAATAGAACATGTAAGTGGAAACAAAGACACAGTATCTCCCATGAATTTTTCTTCCTAGAGTTGGATGTGAAATGCAGTTGTCTATTAGTCCTAGTGAGCATTTTCCCTTATCACTGTCAACACGCCCTGTAACAAAATAGAGGAAGGCAAACACACTGCCTCCTCGAAGCCCTTACCGAAAGCTTGTATGATTGACCACTTGAGCACAACTTCACCACCATCCACACTCCGGTCCACACTCGACTGAACTCCCTCGTCCTCAGGCTGTTACAGTCCCTCCCCCCTCACCCCCCATGATCCTCACGCCATTCCCCCCTCCCCTTCCCCTACCCACCCCCCACACACACCACCACCACCATCCCATCCCGGCTTGTAAGAGCGACAGGTACCGCAACTCAACACACTGTTCAGCTTTTTACGTCCCATTTCGCTCAATTCTTCCCCTCTCCTTTTCTCTTTCTCTCCACAGAATGCTTGAAATCAGTCTAACAACTCTCCACTTCCGTTTTCACTCGCGAACCAGCATGACTTATCCTGAGCACCATTTATAAAGCGGGAAGTGGCATGCGATCTCGCCCCGGGCACTGGACAAGAGCGATCGTAAGTGTAAAGGCCGGACTGGCTCGCTTCACAAAGGATCGCTCAAGGGACTTCCAAGGCGGAGGATGTCACAGCCATCTCGGGAAATGAAGACATGGGGAGGCTTCAAGCACTTCTTTCGTGGGCGTGTCTGTCATCTTAAAAAGTAGATAAAAAGGCAACGGACTGAAGGGTCAAGGGGAATAAATGTGGTATATTACATAATGGAAAAAAAAAACTTACAGGAGTAAATATCTAGACACGTGTACTTTTATTTTCCTATTCAAGTGTGTGTGTGTGTGTGTGTATGTGTGTGTGTGTATGTGTGTGTGTGTGTGTGTGTGTGTGTGTGTGCATGTGTGTGTGTGTGTGTGTGTGCATGTGTGTGTGCATGTGTGTGTGCATGTGTGTGTGTGTGTGTGTGTGTGTGCATGTGTGTGTGTGTGTGTTTATGTGTGTTTGTGTGCATGTGTGTGTGTGTGTATGTATGTGCATGTGTGCGTGCGTGTGTGTGTGTGTGTGTGTGTGTGTGCATTGTGTGTGTGTGTATGTGTGTGTACGTATGAGAAAGAAGTTGAACGATCCCCATGAAGGTACAAGAGAAGACACCAAACACACGCATACAAGCAAACGTCTCCCGCCATTTACATCCGCAAGATAGGAGCTTTGAGCACGAATCACTGAGCCGGGAGCCAAGGTCAGGGGCGTTTCAGAAGACGAAGCTGCAACTTAAGGTCAGGTATTCATCGCCTGTCAAGAGACGAGTGCGCTGTGCCCATTGCAACCCCCATACACATGTCGGAAGTTTACAGTTCTGTTGTAATTTGGTTAAATAAAGATGTTATAATGCAGTTTTTTCTCTCTCTCATCGGGAATTACATGTTTCTTCAATCCCCAACAAGTTATTATACACAACTCCGTACTTGATGACCTCGAAGTTATGCATATGCAGTTCTTGCTATGATGTTCCCTGTTACCATGCACTTGGTAGACCCCTGCGTTTGTTTTCCCTTTTTTCATTAAAACGCTCAGGCTTTTCAACTAATATTTCTCTTTTTCATTAATGCGGTCTGCAATGCAATTAAGAGTCTATAGGAAAGGCTATGAATGCATTGAATCACCTCGAACACGCCAGAGACTTACGAACCGACGGAGAATCTTTGCCGAGGCTGAGGGTGGCGATGGCGGACTTAGGAGATGATTATGCTCTTAATCCGATCCTCTTGCCGAGATGAACGCGTGGAAGGGATAACTGCCTGTGTGGTGAAGGAGATGAATGGTAAATCGGGAAAGTGAAAACAGTTAAGCGTTTCCTCTCTTTGGCGTTTTCAGTGGTCAAGGCCGTCTTATTAATTGGCTTTATTCACGCCTCCCATAAATTTTGAGGAAGTTAATGATCGTGCCATCTTGTCTTAAACCGGACTCAATAATTTTGATGGAGAAAGGTGACATGCATCGACTCCAAAAATCGCGGACGAAAAAAAACGCCTGCTTTTGCTTGCTTGGAAGTTTGGAACCAAGAATTCCGCAGCAACTCGTCCCTTTCCTTCAGGACAACAATCCAAACACTTCAGAAAATTATGAACTCCCATTTAATACTAATTTTCTTCTGTGAGGCAAGAGCATTATGTCACTATTGTCCAAGAGAAGTTTTCAAATACATTTTTTATGTAGTGCGTTATGACTTAAAACCTGTGTGTCTTTGGTCTTTTCTTAAAAAAAAATAAGTTGACGCGTTTTGCAATTTCCTGGAAGGACTATCTACATACGTTATTTTTTGTGTGTTTTACTTTGTTGCTATTAATCTGTCAAGTGATTAATACGATTTAAACTCTTTCAGAACCACTAATGTTTTTTATATATATAAGTTATGCACTGATTGCCAAAACATAAAGATTCATCTAAACAAATTTGATAATTGATCACCACTCCGACAGCCTGAACTAAAAAGCTGACGTGGTGCAAATCCCTCTGGTGTCTTATACGAATCTTCACTTGAAAATTTTCAAGAGCTTTTCGCAATATTTATGATTATCACTAAAAAACTATGTATTTCCTATGAAATGGTGATAGTTAATCTGGTTTTGATAGTCGGCAAAATGCTTCATTCTTTGAAATATAAAGTTTTAATCGTTGGAAAAAAATGACAAAAATGTATAATTTCCTTCCATAGTCCCTTTCGTATTTCGCCTCAATGTACTAGACAAGACGTTCTGTTGGTTACGATTCGTTCGTAATTAATTCTTTATTTAATCGAGATTGTTAATCCAGTTATCATGATGCTTGCCAACATTTCCTACTTTAACCACCTTCGCTACAACGTGGAGGATTCAACAGACACATCTGCCAATGCATTTCTACTTATTCACAGCTAAATCATTTCCCAAAGGTGCCGACAACAAAACGACGAGATAAAACCAAATATATATTTCGAAGTTCCACAAAAGAACAGATATGCAACATAATATCAGCTGCGGAAAAAAGACACGGGAAAGGAATCAGCAGGCTTAGTTGATTCCACTGACGGGGGGGTGAGTGCACACTGCTCGAGCGGCGCCTGTGAACTCCTTGGCGCTGTAGCCGTGCTCGCACAGGTTCACCATCGTCTGCACGACGCGGAGGGCGTACGGGTTCTGGGGGTAGGGGGGAGGAAGAGGTCTCCAGTCAATTGGGATAATTGCAAGCACATGCAAGGGTATATAGACAGATAGAGAGATATATGTAGATTCATATGTATGAATATTCACATATACATACATATATCCATACATACATACATATATGCATACATACATACATACATACATACATATATATATGTGTGTGTGTGTGTGTGTGTGTGTGTGTGTGTGTGTGTGTGTGTGTGCGCGCGTGTGTGTGTGTGTATGTTGTGTGTGTGTGTGTGTGTGCGTGTGTGTGTGTGTGTGTGTGTGTGTGTGTGTGTGTGTGTGTGTGTGTGTGTGTGTGTGTGTGTGTGTGTGTGTGTGTGTGTGTGTGTGTGAGTATTTGAAAGTTCCGTGACGGCGTGTTCCAAACTGGCAGCGAAACCGACCGTGCCGAGGTTGAAGCAGAGGTAGTGGAAGGCCATGACGGATTCTTCGTGGCAGGCGTCGTCGGCGATTGGGTGGACGTCGGACATCATCGCGTCGGCGAGGACTTCGTCTCCCGTGACCAGCTGAGCGATCTTCCTCATGGTGTCAGTCACGAAGGTTCGGTTCTGAAGTGACAGGAATACGGTGGTCAACTCCCTCGAATTTCAGTTTCCTTAAACTGGACAGAGGTGTAAATATACTACAGAAAGAGATTATTTTTTTGTTACATTTTGCTCGGAAGAGAAAGACAAATCTTCGCTTTTCGTGTTACCATTTGCAGATTCGGACTGACAGTTGTTCGGGAGAGCGATCGGCATGGAAACTCACCTGCTGTAGTTCGTCGAGCTGTCGTTTCCAGTAGTCTGCGCCGAGGAGGCCGTCGGACTGGGCCACATGGTCTTCCAGAATGGCCAGGGGAACGTCGGGGCTGGGCACGGCGCTTTTCTGACAGACAGAGAATCGGGGGTCAAATAATTTCGAAGTGTCGGAAAGCAGCCGCCGCCCCAGGTTTGCGAAGCATCAGTTGGAATTCGCACTTACCAGGCAAGGGTCGGTCTCAGGAGGGAAGGGACCGTAGTCGCCTAGATCGGTCGAGCCGCTGCCGACGAAGGTGCCGACCGTGTGCTTGTCGAGGCTGAGCTCGCCCCACTGGAGCACGTCGGACGTCGTGGTCTCCTTGTGCACGACCTCGAACTGCTTCTTCAGCGTCTCCTTGTTTACGTCTTCCTGCAAACGTCGAAGTGGCGTTGCATGCATCCTTCTTTACAAATAAGTAAATTAGATTGTGAGTTTAGGCAAAAAAAAAAAAAAAAAAACTTTCACACAGCACCGTTGCAAGAATCCAGATTTATCAGGATCTTTAGCACGCACCCTGTCCGTGTCCTCCATCCACTTGATGCTGAACACGTCGCCGAGGAAGGTGCCGAGCTTTTGGTCCATGTAGCAGGCGTAGGAAGACTGCGTGGCGTTGGCAGCAGACAGG